TGCCTACTTTACTTCCTTTATCCACTGATGTCAGAATAATCAGCAGTAGCAGGGAGAGTATCTACAGGGAGAGTTTGGCTGAGGTGAGATTAGATTTCTTCTCTTCGCCTGGGGTGTCATCAAAGCTCTGTCTGTTATGGAAGTTGAAGCCTGAATTTTGGACGGAGTCTGTTGTACTAGGGTGGTTGAAAAACTGACGCCAGTTTGCAAGTCGTCTGAAACAATTTGAAGGTTTTGATTCGATGAAAATCAATCAATAAGTTGTGTTTCTTTTCACTGATGCACTGCATGGTGACAGCTGTTTATACAGCTAAAACATCTGTAAAACAGAATCACATTAAGAGTAAGAATAGCTGCGGTGAGGCATGGAGTATTAGTATTTCAGCTGCATTCATGAAGGGCATGTTAGACATGTGTAAAACTGATTCATGACTCACTAACAGTCTCTGCAGCAATGTGAGACACATATGTTGATCCAACTGCTTAATGCTGCATGCCAATGTTTTACTGAAAAAGACACACTACTCTTTGTCTGTTCCGCTGTTCCGTCATTTACATACACTCTCTGTCACCAGTAATAACAAACACTCACGCTGTGTGGCCATGTTCAGAGATGTGTGCCTTGCAAGCAAAACATCTTTGTTCATAGACCCCTATATATCCTGTAAAAGACTGGACTTAACCATGCTAGCAATGTGACTCTGGAGATAACGATGTCAGTGTTTTGGTCCCCCACTTTGATCCAGGCTGAAATAGCTCAGCGACTACTCAGTGAATTGCCATAGGATTTTGCGTTGTTACTTATGACTACCAGATGATAAATCCAAATGACTTTGGGGATCATCTGACTTACCTCAAGCGCCATCATAAGGTCAATTTTTGTCCAATACTTCATTTTTTATGACTAAATATTGCCAAAATGAATAACTTTCCCATCCACATCAACTGTACTTTCTGTTTAGAGCTAATTAGTTAATGTTAGCATTCTAACATGCTAAAACATTAACACGCATTGTTACTAAACACTGTCATTGTGAGCATGCCAAAGTTAGCATATACCTAAAAGCACCACTATGAGTAAGTTCTGCCTCATAAATCTGCTGGCATGGCTGTTGTTTTCTTATCACTAGTCTGGCTGTGTTCTGTAGTATGTGAATAGGGATATGATACGAGTGGTTCTATCTACTAGCAAACAGAAAATCTGGATGACAGGCAAACACATGCACTGACTGACCCATAAAACAACTAAATGTCTGCCAGGTTGAGTGACTGACTGATTAACTTGCCATTTTTATCCATTGCTTTGCAGCTGCTCTGTCCTGCAGTGAAAACGACTAGTTACCCATGATGCCTGAAGTGCCAAAATGCGTAACTGTGCCAATTCTGTGGCTACCCACCGGGAAGAATGGAGGTAGAGAGAGGAAAGGAAAAGAAGATAAGACACAGCAGCAGGAGAGCACTGTAGGGGAAATGGAAGAGGAGGTGATGCAAAGAAGAAAGGAGGTGGATGGCAGGGGGGGGGCTGAGATAAAGTGAGATAAGGAGAATAAAAGAGAGAAATGAATACTGAGGCTGAAGATGAGATGGCGCAAACAAAGATGAAGTGAGCGAAGGAGAGAAGAAGAAGAAATGAAACAGGGAAATATATGTTGAAATGGATGAGATAATGTATGTACCTTATTAGCTTGTATTAATAACTGTTTTGCTTTGACGTTGTGAATCATAAAAAGATATTTATTTAGAAATTATAATGGCCTGTCTATATTTTCATTTAAGCCATGTGTTCTCAGAGTCCATAAAAAACACTGACTCTGTGATGTTTTCATTTTTGGCTATGCTACTTCACAATTCAATTCAGCTGAAAAGCAATTATTTTAAAATTATTCATGCTCCCTCTACAGAATATTACAACAAAACAAAACTTTCACTGCGCTCACTGTGATTTCAGAGAAATGGCTTTTACCTCCACTGACTTGCACTGAATGCTTGTAACTCCTCCCTTTTAATATCCTTAAAAAAAAAACAAAAGTTGAATGGACATCAAGGACTTCTAGTTCATGATAAACTGGATACTGCAAGTGTCTTCAAAACTTAAAATATCCCTTTAAGACTGACTAGCAGATGTATCCACTCTAGATTTAAGTGCTCAAATGTCTGGCAAGCTGGCTAGCATAGAGCAATAATCAGTCACTTATACACACACACACACACACATTCACTCTTAGACCCTGCTGGGCAGAGGAAAGCTGAAGACGATGATGTCATGACATAAACAATAGCTCATTCAGTTAGGCGCTGGTGGTCAGGAAGCAAGACCGTGTTTAAAGGACAACATCTGCAGACGAGGAGAGAGAGAAGAGTAAGAGAAAGAGAGCCGACATCTTAAATCCTCAGTTCATCCTATAACTCATACTGAGCTGTTGAAGCATCAGCAGAGTCTGTGAACAAATCCCATCAGTTAGTTGAGCTGATAATGTCAGAGGTCTGTGCATCTATTTGAAATTCCAGTAGGTTTGTAAGTGAAACTGTGTAGGGGGAGAACAAGACACAGGGATTTTCTACAGGCCGGCCAGACCGACCTATAGATGTAGTTCAGGTTACATGGCTTTTCCCAGATGGTTCCTGTTACCACCTCCCCCTTCAGAGGCTCTGCGCTGTCTTCCTCAACCCTCTTTAGTGCTATTAAGGTAATTAAATGTAAGAAAGTACTGTCAGCTGTTGCTGTATTCCCCACAATTCCTAGGGGGCTATGCAAATGACGGACAGAACGGATGAGTCAGAGACCATGAATGTATAAAGTCTCAGCATTGTCATAAATATCAGTTGGCTATCTGAGGCGAGGAGAAGGATACTCCTGCTGTTCTGTTCATCTAAGTGATTCATTATACCGACAGGCACCCTGTATCGTATTTCCACACTGCTGTATAAATTTCAAGGGTTAATCTCCCAAAACAGCCCACCACACTCATGCTGCAAATTCTGTTTCCATTCAAAGAAGGTCTTTTGTCATGCATAAACCTTGTGTAATTTTGCAGCACTGAGGTTATCTCTCCCTACTGTGCTAGTACGCTTTAAGCAAAATGGTTGCATAAGGCAAATAGTCTGCAGGTCTGCTCCGTGAACTTGCTGTCTGGATTTACCAGGATCTTAGTCACTATCAACAGGGGAAGGAGCTGTTTCATTTAAAATGCAACAATACTGCTTAAACAGCTGCACTGACTGCATAAAAATGTAAAAGCTCTCCGAATGCATCTTTGAATTTTTTTTTCCAGCACTGCCTTTTTGTTTGCTTGTTGCTGTTCAACCCTGTTGTGCGAGTGTAACGTTCACGCTAAAGTGCACAAAGCTATCCAACCATGTACAGTACCAGCTTCCATTCTCCTTCTGCAAAGACATGAAGGATTTTTAAGACGAGTAACATGAGCATAGGTTTTTTTTGTTGGTTGGTTAGGTAGACTGGTAAGGATTTGCCTGCCAACCGAGTTTATATGCACAGACAAATCACTTCCGTTTGAACCACCAGACCCCCACATTCACCCCCAACCATCCACCCTACCCCCTCTCTGAGGGCCCACAGCTGGGTCTCACCATGCTCACACCACCTGCTGGTTAAGCCAAGGTCACAGCATATGACATTAATTACACTTAGGGACACCAGTGTATCTACACAAAACTTTCACTGCCTGGCTGCAGCAGAGCACACACTGGAATCTGTCATCAGTCATTTAAAAATGTATCCGTCTGTGTTAAACATCCAAAACGTAAAAAAACCTATTTGCTATGGTAGTTCAAAAGCAAGGCCACACTAAGGCTGTGTGTGCGTCATGTTCCTGCGTCAAGGACAGTTTAATTATGGTGGAGCAGTTGTTGCTGTGCCATTGTGAAATAGCCTGTGCGGTTAAATTTTTCTTAATGACCAACAGAAAGATGTACAGTGGGTGTTAGCTGTTATAATCACATAAAACTTCAGCCAGATTTGAAGAATGAAGCTTGAAGCAAAAGCTGCATGTTATTAACTGAACAAAACTGAAAGAGTAAACATCCCAATTGCACTCTGTCTAATATCTGTATCACAATATCTGTCTAAGTATAAACTAGAATTGCCAAATCATGGTTGTATGTCTCTGCCAACCAGTCAAGTTGCTATTTATATCCATGTCTGTCCAGACTCATATGTAGCCATGACAGTAGACAATACTTTAAATATGGATGTTGCTACAAAGAAGCGACACGTTCTAAAACATGGATGCTTCACACACATCTTCAACTCGGCAGCACAGAAGATCTATATAACTAAAACACCTCCAATGTAGGCACCCAAGATTAGTGTCACCAATTCAGTATCTGACCAAATCTCTCCTCTTCTGTTCCTGATATATGATGTTGAATAATGGCCAGAAATGTGTTTTAGCAGATCATTATGATGTCCCAGTGAAGATGACCTTTGACCTTTGGATATAAAGTGTCATCACTTCATCATTTTGTCCTATTAAACATTTGTGTGAAATTGTGTCATTTATCATATGAATTCTTCAGTTATGGCCATAAACATGTTTTGCGAGGTCACAGTGACCTTGACCTCAGTTCATCCTTGAATCAAAGAGAACATTTGTGCCAAATTTGAGGAAACTCCCTTGAAGTGTTCTTGAGATATTGTGTTCACGGGAGTGGAATGTACGGATGGACAACCTGAAAACATAATCCCTCCGGCCATGGAATAAAAACTGCATCTGAGAGCTGGAAAATGGTAATATTGTTACATTTTTGAAGTTACACTTTAAAGCCCCTATGTGTAGGATTTTACATTAAGAATACCCCCTCTCACCCCTGATGGATCCAACCTAAAGATACAGAATAAAGGGCTGAAATGAAGCACATAAACTGAACTAGTTTTCAACAGGATTGACTAATTTATCTTCAAACAAAACTTCACATTCTAATGATACTGTAAATAAATACATAAACATTGGGGTTAAATGACCTTAAACTGGCCTCTTTACCTGACAGAGTTGATCATGGCTCCACAACCCTCTATGGCTCCCTGGGAGTCTGTGTGGTATCCATTCGGGATGGCCCAGCGTCCGGGCTGGCTCAGCACAAACTCTGACCTGCTCCCTGGTATGGTGGTCCTCAGTGGGCTTCCACCCACAGCTGCAGCTCCACGGACAGCGCTCTCCCCAGTTGTGAGATCACCTGGGGAGTCTGGTCCAGCCTCAGCCCCTTCTTGCTCCTGAACAGTTGCCAGTTCCAGCTCCAGAGGTTCAGGACCCTGTAACAGTGCCCTCTGTTGGATGAGCGGCGTCAGTGGCGCCTCAAAGCTGACGCAGCTGTCCGTCTCATCTGTGAGCGACAGGACGTCCAGAGAGTCCAGGCTGCTGTAGCAGGTCCCACCCCTCAGCAGGGCAGACTCTACGATGCGTTCGAAGGTGGAGCTGAAGCCGTCTTTGTTGTCCACCCTACCCTTGTCCCTCTCCTCCTCCAACTCCCTCTCCTCCTCCTCATCCTCTTCCTCCTCCTGAACATCCACCTGCTCAACAATCTGCTCAAACACCGAGCTGAAACTGTCCTGGTTTTCTCTCCCATCTCCCTCTTTCTGGACCTCTTCCTCCTCCTCCTCCTCCTCCTCCACCTCTGTGTCGGCCTGTTCTACAGTAGTCTCAAAGTTAGAGCTGAAAGTGTCCAAGTGTGTGTGAGTCTCGCCCTCATCTCCGCCTTCGTCCTCTTCGCCTGCTTCATCATCATCTTCATTCCCACCTATGCCATTTGCCAGTCTGTTTCAATGTGCAGAGAAGAGAAAAGAAAAAGGAAAGTGTGAAATTATCTTCAGCATATGACTCAAACACGGCAGTTTCTTTGTCGAGATTGGCACACATGCAAAGCAGATCATTCATATTCATTGCTGAAATCATTCTTCATTCAGGAGAAGTGCGCACAATGGGCAAATATTTCAGCTTGAATAGCCACACTGACAATTGAAGCAAGATGAAAGATGAAAAAGCACTGTCCAATTTGCTACTTTGTGAATAGCTGGAACCTCATCTCCCCTGGTCTGTCAAACCTCCACTATTTCATCCCTTTTATTTGTGAGGATATGAATCTATTGTAGTCCTTTGTGTTTGCTGCTGATGGAGAGAAATTACTCATAAAATTAGTTAAATCAAAGTGCAACAGCTTAATTTACTTATACTTTAACTGTAATGTGTCATTTTGTTATTTATTATTATGTATTTTATTGTATCTACATTTTCTCTCACAGCAGAGCACTAATTAACAGACGTGTTTTTCTGCCACATTTTGAACTGTTCACCTACAACCCTTCACTATCTCTGCTGGTTTAAAATTGGTTTACTGTGTCCTCCGGCTCTTAGGGAAATTAGACCATTTCCCTTCTGTGTTTGTTTTCCTTTCAGCTCATTTAGTTTGAGGCTTTTTGCCTGTTCATTTTGTAAAATGCAAATGAGGTTAATTATGTACCAAAGAACCACACTGAGAAAACAATTTGCCATTAAAAACATTCAGCGTTGAAAAGTGGCACTCTATTATGATACATGAAACATAAACACGGTCTGCCTAACCACAAAAGTCTTAGGTCACTATAAGAAAGCCTTAAGGAAGCCGTGTGTGTGTGTGTGTGTGTGTGTGCGTGTGTGTGTGTGTGTGTGTCTGCTTACCAAGAAGGACACTAATAAATTGTTGATGAACTTATCATATGATACTTCTCACGTGAACACACAATAAAAATGATGAAAGTTAAATTCTATATCATACTTTGACACCCAAAGGTCAACGATGTACTCACAGGATTTTCACACCCTACAGCGATATATATTTTGATAGAGCGCAACAGTAAAGATGATTTAGTGAACCAACCGCCCAGCTTGTTGAGGGTGAGTTGCCTCCTCCTCCGCTGTAGACAGTTGCATCTCTTCATCTTCCTTCCCCTCCTCTTCTTCTTTCATCCCCTCCACCTCATGTGATGCCTCCTCCTCCTCCGTTACCTCCACATTTATACATGCTTCCCCTACTGTCCCTTCCCTCTCTCCCTCCGCCCCTCCATCTGTCTGTACCCTCTCCTCTTTCAACTCGCCCTCTCCTCCCTCATCTTTTACTTCTTCCTTCCCTTTTCCTTCCCCGTGTGTCTCCCCCCGTGCCTCCTCCTCTCCCTCTCTGATCTCCTCTTGTTGTTTCCCCTCCTCTCTCTTGTCCTTCGCCCCAGCCCCCTGCTTGTCCTGCTCTGCCTGGCTGTGTGTCTCTGTGGGTGGGTCGGCGGTGGTGCTGGTGGTGGTTGCTGTATTGGGCTCCACTGGGCTCTCTGGTGGGGTGGGAGAGGGCAGAGCCTGCCCCTCCTGGGTCATGGTGCTCTTCACTGAGGGGGGGTGGCTGTCTACTCCAGCACGAGATGAGGACCAGAGCTTCAGATCAGCAACCAGGGGGGACCCTCTGTGGAGAAAAAGAAAGAGGCAAGAGGAAAATAAGCATGAAATGAAGACAAAGTACCAAGTGAAAATGAGGAGGAGGAGAAGGCAGTGTTATAAAATGACTATAATAACTACGGCAGATACTGATACAGTCATTTGATTATTTCTAGTCTTAATTACAAGTCACAGAGGTCACCTTCAAAAAAAGAACAGCTGTGTATGTGTGTGTTGCAGTGTGTTTCCATGTGTAAATGTGTGTGTTAGAGAGCGAGAGAGATGCATATGTCTGGAACACTTTGTCCTCTGCACCAGATGATCCCAAAACAGCTCTGAAAGGAGGGCAGGAAAAGGTAGATAAAGTAGAAAGCAGAGGGATACAGACAGGCAGGCAGGCAGGCAGGGAGAGAGATTTGTTTAATACAGCTCAACTGATTCCTGTCAGAATGATCCTGCCAGCTCATCCGCTCTCTGTCTATGTGGAGATTTCACAGCTGAATAACTAACTATCTGTTTCCATCCCTGCTGTGACTGTGCTTTGTGTGAATGCATGACAGTAACCTGAGATTCAAACATGTGTTGTAATAGTCTTCTGTTACTCTCACGCTTTCACTGTTGGTTGAGCAGCAGAGACCTCTATACTGCAGGTCTTCATCTTGTCTAACTGGGGCTCAAGGGCAAATGCTAATGAGCATCTCTTAATTACGGCTCTGCAGAGCAAGTTACGTTTGAATGAAGACAGGCTGATATGTTATTCTTTTTATGAAAAATATGGAGGTTTCTGTATATAAAATGAAATTAATTCCTTTTAGATACAACCTGATGACATCTGATGAATTGTGTGAAGAATGCGATTAGTGCTGAAATAAAATTGATCACCCAACCACTTTGATAATCAATTAATCACTAAGTATTTGTCATCATATCACTCTTCAAGGTCAGGAATAAACCTCCAATCTCATCTTTTAAGCCAACATGGATGAAGAGTCCACACGCTGCTCAGAACTGAGCAAACTATTTCTACTTAGGTGGACTGTGTGAGGTGATTGAAAGCTCCAGAAAAGCTATTAATGGACCTCCTGATGAGATAGTTTTGCCAAAAGCTGTTTCCAAGGTCACGAAATGAACTTCTCAATCAATTAACTGGATTTTCTATTTGATTTTACATACATTTGCCATATTGTGCTACGTATCACTATCATGAAGGTGTTCTTATTAACATAAAGACACTGATTTCCCAAACCAATAAATAATAAATAATAATTTAGAATTATTAGATCTGTTGTTACCATACTGTATAAAAGAAGTGGGCGTAGCCACTGTGACACCACCCATCTGTTTGTGGACTACCCTTTTGAAGCCTCCAGTCTGGCATTTTGGCTGTCGTCATCTTATATTTTGTAGCAAGAATGAGAGGGTGGAGCTGGGGAGGGTCCACATTGCAGCGCCTCTATCCTGACTGACAGGTCATCGTGCCAGTGACTCAATCACAAGGCAGCCACGCCCCAAAATCATACCCTGCTTTATTGTCTATTTTACTATCAGTGGACCATAATGTACAAAATGAACATCATGTTGACAACTTAAAACTAGTGACTGAGACCATAAACTCATTAGGAAAATGTTCACTGAGGTAATAAATCAACTGAAAAGTCATTTTCTCATGGACTTCTGTACAACCAGACTTCGTTTTGGAACTAGTGGCGTCACCCCCTGCTGGTCATTAGCATGGCCTCACTTTTCAGACCTGGAGGCTACATCCACTTCTTTTATACAGTCTATGGTTGTTACATATTTCCTTTGTCTCAACTGGCTTTTGTGTGATATATAGTAATAATCATAATGATACCATGTCTGGATGAAATTTTTCCCCTTAGTAATGAAAAAACACAGTAATTCTTAGGGCTGGGTATTGGTACTGGATACATTTAAAGTATTTAAATATGAAATAACCCAGAGCAAAGTGGTACTGAAACTTCTTCTATCAAACAAATACCTGCGGTCAGTCCTTTCTGTACCCAGATCTAAAAAAAAAATAAAAAATTGTATGCCTTTGAGGCAGCTAATCACTGCAAGCTTTCTTCAATTTGATGCAACATGTAACTGGCCCAGCAACTACAAACAATGCAGTTTGGGGTATGGTGAGGTTGACCGCAGAGTATTGGCAGAGTTGGCAGTTCAGCATGCCGAGATGGCACCAAAACATTCAAAGGTATGGCTGCACAACATGCCTGTGGCGTCTGTGGCATTTTACGCAAGTAAATGCTTCCATTCACATGATGAGTATTGAATGAAGCAAAGACAAAAAAAATGAAGTGCTGAGTATATAACCAGCCCTAATAATTCTGCAATAATCCAGCAATAAGGTATATTATATAAAGTGTGTATGTATGTAGTTATGATTACACTTCATTTTGATATGGCGTCAGTCAAGCTAAAGTGTATTTCGCACATTTTATCAAGCAGGAACCTGCATTGGTGGAGTAGATGTTTGGATTGTGATACTGTTGCAGAGTGCAGCCAGGAAGCGGCCCTGTCTGCCTGATACAGACAGTCCTTAGCCACATTAGAGCTCTGCTCTGCTGAATCATCGCTAGCAGGGACTTACAGCACAGCTGCAGTTAACATTTTTGCTGGGATTCAAATCTTTCCTGATGGCATGCAGATACAGGTAAGGACCTAGTTAGGCTGAAATTAACATAGTGAACCCTGCCAAATAAACTCTGTGGTTTCTCTGGGAAATTTCTAGAATTTCTGCATTATTTTGATCAAACTGTGAAGAAAACAAATGGGATCATGATAGAGAGGAAAGATTTGTGGCGGGCTAGAATGTGAGCCAAATTTGTATCTATGATGTTGCAAGTGCTTTGGCTTAGCCCCTGAACACGAGTACACCACAGGCCCACTAAATGTTTCATCACAGCTGCAAAAAGATGATGCAAATTATGCAGAACCAAGAGAGTCAGGCAAATTACTCCCTTATTTCAAGCTTGTCTCCTAATTACAGTAGACCTCTCTTTTTTTAGGACTTTTATGTTGTCACCCAAAAGCAACGGCAGAATTGAGTTCTCAATCTCAATCCCTGTGGCAAATGTTATTGTTGGAGCATTCAAAGCCAAGAATAAGACATCTCACAGTTTGAAAAAATGTCTTCTGTCACTCCGAGAAGTACAAGAGGCATAAAAAACAGTATAACATCAGCAAATATGTGTTTTTTCACAACCAAGCACAGTGTGTCTCTGCCAGCGTCGTCTAATCCTTCTCACTCTGACTGCTGTTGAAAGTGTGATGATCTCAAAGGACGCTCTGACTGATCCCCCAACAAATTCTTTCTGCATACGTGATCAGTGATTGGCCTACTCATTCTTTCTTTCTGTTTTTTTGTTGGGTTTTTTTGCTTGAGAAGGAGGGTGGGAATCATCTGCATTATCTATTAACACCAGGCAGTTTGTGTCAGTGTATTCCATCTGCAGAACCATAAATCACATGCCACCTGATGGTGTGGATCGCAAATGATTTATTGACTGTATTATGACACACTAAGGACGGTACAGTGCATCTCAAACACTGGTAATAAATCTATCATGAATAATCAAAGAGTTATTATTATAGGCTTGAATAATCCTACACTCAGGTGCTGAATATTTGAAACAAATTTTCATCTGAGTCTATTGGAGCTCACATTCACACATATGTATGTACTGAGCATATGCAAACAAGCACAATTTGCATCCATTTATGCAGTTACACAAAGATGCATTAGCACATATTAAGACACAGTTAAATTCACACACATACAAACAAAACAGTGACACATCTCCATAAATGGAAACAGTGAACAGTTATGAAACCAGACACGCAAAGTGGGAATTCTCTCTCTCTCTCTTTGTGTCTCCAGTGTCCTGTTTTTCTCCCACTCTCTCTTCTTCATCTGTTCTACATTATGTTTTCTGCTATCTCACAGTCTAACTCCGCTCTCTCTTTTCTCTCTCAGCCTCTCATTTCTCAGTGATTGAGGTAAATGGGTCTTAGCCAGCAAAAAAAAAAAAAAAAAAAAAGAGACTGTGGAAGTGAGCGGCGCTATGAATCTGGCTGCTGAGGAGGAAGAGAAGACGTGCTCTGACACCCCACATAGACAGATCGAGAAAAACACAGCCAATGATAGAGAAAAGGTGTGGGTCAGTCTTTGTGTCTATATGTATACAATGGCTATCAGGAGAGACTTATTGCATTCCACTTTTGTCAGCAGAACACTGGGGCTCTAAAGCCTTATCAATTTCCTTTAATTGCGATCGGACCATCTGCCAATCATGAGAACGACACACAATCCCACATCTGACAGCATGCCCATCCAGACATATAAACCAACCAATCCAGTGAGGATGAGGCTGGATAAAAGGCCAAGTCATCATTAAATAGCTCTTCTCTGTCTCTTGTGCCTTTTATATCTCTCTCTCTATCTCTCTGCCTGTCTTTCTGTCTCACTCAGACATACGCACACACTCTCCGATACACACACAAACATGCACCACACTGCACGCACATAGACACGCACCATGGTGTAATTTATTGATCCCTGAGACACAGAGCTGCAGTCCGCTGGGACTCTCCAACGATAAGCATGACTGGTCTGTATAGGCAGAAAGATGCCAAAGAAATACTTCTGAGGTAATCAGGCTGGAGGCTTAAAAAAATAAGGGAAACACTATTCCAGAGCGAGCAATTTTTAGGAAGCTGACCCAGCTGCTGCATTGCGTCCTAAAGTTTTATATGATTCAACTTCAAATTGTGGCTTGACTGGGGTGTTGGTGGCTTAGTGGATAGAGCAGGCGCCCCATGTACAAGGCTGTTGCCGCAGCGGCCCGGGTTCGACTCCAGCCTGTGGCCCTTTGCTGCATGTCCTTGCCTCTCTCTCCCCCCTTCACGCTTAAGCTGTCCTATCAATTAGAGGCTAAAACGCCAAAAAAAATCTTTAAAAAAAAAATTGTGGCTTGACTGAGGTTGAGACATATATCTATATCATATCAATATTGTGATATGAGACTAGATATCATCTTAGATTCTGGATATTGTAATTGTTGTCTTTTTTTGGTTTAAAAGCCTGCATTACAGTAAAAGGATGCAATTTCCTGAACATTTAACACTGTTCTAGCTGTTATATTATTTGCCTTTACCCACTTACTCATTATACACACATTACTGATCATTATTTATCAGAAATCTCACTGTGTAAATATTTTGTGAAAGCTCCAATACAACCCTACAATATTGTCACAATATCAATATTGAGATATTTGCTCAAAAATAATGTGATATTTGATTTTCTCCATACCGCAGGCACTTTAGAATGCCAGGGTGTAAAAGAATTGTCAAAATCAAAGCAGCAGAGGTCAAGATATCTTGACTTCTTCTCCTCAGTAAATGTTCACTCCTTCACTTCCCATAATGGTACCAACCTTATTTACAGAGTTCCTTTGGACAACTACTCTGAGCAGGCGAGTCAAAAAGTTTTAAAGTTTTAGTTTTACTTCTAAGTCTTAGATATTGAGAATTTGTGACAGCTACAATATTTCTGTCACTTGGTGTAAGGAAATGTGTTGTTGTGGATGTCAACAAAGTGTTGGCTAGCAGTCAGAGTACCCATCTTGAAATAATGTGTGAACACTTCCATTCCTGTTCTTCCCATTCTGTCAACATTGTTAGAAGCCTGCATGGTCAACCATGCCTTCAGTTTGAAACCCAGGCTTTCCATAGAAAATCTGTAATTACACGGGTGCTCCGATCAGGAATTTTAGGGCCAATAACTGATCTCTGCAAGCATCATTGGCCAATACAGATCACCAATCACATGGTCTATGTGAAGCCCTCTATTTATGATGTAGTATTATTCATTTATTGAACCATTCTTAACAAAACTGCATATTAAGTATTAGAATTAAAAGATAAGAAAGTATCATGAATTGACAACTGTTTGTTTATTGGCAGGCAACATGTGCAACCTATTACACTCTCTCCAATACCACACTAGTACTTTAAAACATAATTTATAATGAAAACGATTTCCATACACACAAGCACTTTAGCACTGTTTTAAAAATAATCTCTGTCTTTACTAACACACCTGAAAACGTTTATCACATGACCATTTTCGTACAGTGGCCATGCATATGTCTGTGTTAAGAGTAAGCAGATTGTCTGCTCTGGTTGCTTAGTTGCAGAAAATACTACGAAGGAAGATCAGCAATAGCGAAACGTAAAAGCAGAAATTTCTTTACTTGGACCGACAAGAAGCACAACTGTCACTGAAAGTAATATGAGTATAAGGCAGTCAAGGTGGTGGAAAACATAGATTGGGCATTGTTGCAAAGCAAATATATTAAGACTGATAAGACTCCATCAATGGGCTAACATGGGTGTCTGCACCATTGTTTCTGCACATCCAAACTAAAACACAATCCTGGAGCTTTCAAACTAAAACAGGGTCGGCAGTGGTTTCAAAAGTCTCAGTTTTAGCGATGCAAATGCACTGGAGTGGTGTGGATGTTAGGCTTTAACAAAGCAATAGTTATGTGTTTTAAAACAAATGTATTTGCGTGGAGGTAGCCTTATAGCAGTCTGAACTGCCAGACCAGTAAAACTATTTCAGCAGCACATGGAGAAATTGTCTTGTGTGCTTCCCATCATCTGATTGGCTCCTCTGATTTAATAGAGACCACTGATAGGGGCACCCAATCATGTACAGGCAATGTCCTTGCCGCAGTGGCCACGGGTTTGATTCAAGCCCATGGCCCCTTGCTGCATGTCATCCCCTCTCTCCCCCTTTCACACTTTATCTGTCCTGTCCAACACAGGCATAAAAAAATAAAATAGAGACCACAGATCAAACTATTTGGAAGAAAAAGGTCCCAAAAACGACTGGTGCCCAATCAATCAGAGCAGCCTTATTAGTTACCAACCCCTGATGATAACGGGATACTTTTCTGTCTTTAAGCAGGCACTTAACGCCTTCCCTCTTCAAGTAGAGCTGCACCATGACCAGATGTTATTGGCAGTGACTGAATGTAACATGGTGCAGTGGAGAGGATTAGCCAGGATTCCCTGAGAGTTTGACAAATAATAGAGCTACACAATGTGGAAGAAAATCATGTTGCAGGTTTTCTGACGCCATATGATTTGACAATGCAATATTGCAATATGAATTGATTAAATTGCAGCCTTAACATTATATTATAGAGACTAGTGTTCTGCGTAAAATCCTTAAATCCCCTTAATCCTTGATCTCTACCTCTCTATCTATCTATCTATCTATCTATCTATCTATCTATAGCTCTGTTTTGCTGGTAAATCATTTTGAGAGCACTCTGCCTGCAGACACTTGTGTTGGGCATCACTGCACCAGTCTTTACTGAGTTAAGTGGTGGAACAGTCGGCCAATTGACCACTTTTAACTTGTCTGACCTCATTACGTTTGTAGAGCTGCCCGCATTCATTTTAGACAAAAAAAACATTTGTGCAGTTCTTTTGTTTGTGCTGCGTGCCACCATGAGGGTTTCTTACTGAAAAGCACCACCAGTATTCACAAGTGGTGTGAGGGACAGAGTGTTGGTGCTTCACTGCAGTCATTGACATTGTGTGGATTATCTCATCTTCCTAAATGTAAAATTATGTCACTGACTGATAAATTATAAGCTCACACAGACATACAAAACTACAACAGTGTTAAATAGCCAATGATATCATAATAGGCACCTTAACAACCAAGACAACCCCTCTAAATACTTTTCAGAGAGAGTTTAATTAGTAACCAAAATGAATTTATGAGGCTATCAGCTGAAACTGATGGATGCTAATCACATCTGAATACTAAGACTTCCCTCCTCCTCTCTTCATTAGTCTACGCTCAGAAAAAACACTGCAGTCTCACACTATAAATGACCTACTGACCCTGTTCATGATACACATGCTCGCTGCAGCACTGGCACTGCAGCCAAGACACACACACACAAACACACACACACACACACACACACACACACACACACACACACACACATACACACATGGTACAGAGATAGAGTCACCTTTCGAAAATGCTGTTGTGGTGTAAGCACAGATGCAGACAGGGAGGAAGAATAATCATTTCCTGGTCTTTATCCTGAGACAGGAAAACAGGAAAATCTGAAATTGGAATTAGTCCAGGGTGTTTTCCTAGCCTGCTCGCCTGCCTACAAGTCACACCATTATGACCACAAAGCCTCCAACTAGCCACACCAGCCTACTAGAGCGTAACAGTCAGCCAGCTCTCAAATCACCCCAATATGTCACTTCTGTGCCATAAAGGTCAACCATCCACTCGTACTTTGTCACTCTAAACATTTATATCTAAATACATGCTTGCAGTAATGTGGTGATTTATCTTGTTTTTCCCTGGGCACTTCCATTTTATCATGCAAATTCACTCTTTAGCGTATGCACACACACACACACACACACACACGCACAACATGCCCTTTCTGGCATTAGCATGATTTGCAAAACTGCATGTTCTCTTTCTCAGACACGGTTTGAAAGATTTTATAAATGCAGCATCCTAAAGTGGTTTGTTGCTCCCGATGACCCATTGTGTCAATCAAGTAATTAACAAAGAAAGGGAGAGAAAGAAAGTGAGAGATGAAGAGATGAACAATTTGGTCTGCTGCTGCTGCTGCTGCTGCTGCTGGTGTGTCTGGATGTCTGACACCTTGAGTTCAAGATGATTACATTGGAAAGAGCTGCACACTTGCCTGGGAGAACCCACCGTTATATTGGGGGAATGCATTACAATGGATCTAGACTAGACATGTAAATGTCTATAATTAAGATAATAGTGACTGTGCTTGGGGGATGAAAAATAACCTGCTATCAAACACCTGTTTAAAAGAAGCCACCCACATCCTGTAGGGGAAAAGATATGGGCCAGAAGCTCTATCTTCCACTGCAAAAAGATCACTATAATTCTATAAGACTGCTATATATAGGCCGTGGGGCTATGTTGGGTTTATAGTGATCGTGTGGTTTTGTATTTCTCATCGGTTGTCTGTATATAATTCCTATGGGGGCTTTAAAATGTGCATAGGATAATAGGATAGCCTTTAAATGTATAAGGGGGGTTACTATGTGCCTGGCTCGCTTTCCAAAGTGTCTCCCTATACACTTAAAAGACATAAACAAACACCAGATAAGACAGGGCTTATTGTCTCCCCCTGTGTGTGTGTGTGTGTGTGTGTGTGTGTGTGCGTGTGTGTATGTGTGTGTGTGTGTGTGTGTGTGTGTGTGTGTGTGTGTGTGCGCGCGCGCGCGAAAGAGAGAGGGAGAGAGAGGGAGAGAGCACAGCGCGAGACAGCCATGTTCTCCCAGCCTCCTCGAGCCAGTAACCATGACAACAGGATGGCTGGGAGACACGGTTCAAGCTCAATTGAGGCCGGTGTCTTTCTTTTCCTCCAAAATAGACCTTGGTCGCGTTTCAAGATCGACTTGTCCTCCTAAAAGCGGAAAGGAAACGCTTTTCTCTTTCTCTTCTCGAGGGGGAGAAGAAGAGAGAGAAAACAGACACACACACCTCCATAAAATCCCACGGCCCGCACGGTGCATATCTTTCAGCCTATATTAGCTCCACAAACACTGCTGTCCTAAAGCCTGCTCGCACCGGCTGTGTGTGCATTTTTTGGTCACAGATTAGCAAGAAAAACAGGACGTGAAACCTCCACGCAGCCTCCATGAGAAACCCTTTAGCTCCTCTCGCTCACAAACTGAAACAGGCTACATTATATCTCAGCATGGGTTACGTTATAACTGCCGGCCAAACAGAGGTTTTTTAGCGCTAACACGGCGCAGCTAGCTTCAAAATTACAACACTTTAAACATGTCCGGTATAACGTTTCTTTACTCACCGGTAAAATGCGTTCAGTCTGGGGCTGTAAAGCAGAGTTTAGCGGTGGTCCTCTCCCTCCCTCTGTCTCTCCACATCCACACCGGGGAATAACACTGACAGACGGGCTCTCTTTTCTCTCCACGCTGAGCGTCCTTCCCAGCTGCCCCCCTCTCACCGGTATGCGCGTGCGACCGTTGTTCACGGCCGCCGCCGCCGCCGAAGCTCGTGGTGTTGTCTCGCGCCTCCGCTCAGGCTGGTAGGGGCTCGCGGGAGGTCCAGGCGGCGGAGAGCGACTACTGAGCGGATTGATGAATGGATGGATGCACGGAGGCGTCCTCTCCGTCTCCTCCTCTCCGTGGAGCCTCTGTGTGTTTGAATGGCAGCTGAGCAATTGTAATTCCGCTCCTAGGACTGCTCGGGAGCACCATCACTCTCCCGTGGTTACCGCGCGGTGTGAACGGGACGTGTCTCGAGGGCCTGTTGATATCAGACACTATAGCCTGCAGTGAAGATTAGCGCTGACAGTTGTGTTGACACAAGTCCTTCTCCTCTCTGACCACAGCTTATATAACGGCCCAGACCTAGAATGTATTAAATTAAAACAGGTTAGGCTTAAAGTTCAACACAGGAGCTGTGGATGCAGAGTACGCAAAGGGTGTCAAGTGGTTCCCACTGACTGAGGTCCAGGGATACCCAAAGGACCTTGGGAGGGTTCCAGGATGTTCCCAGAAGAATGGGGTTGGGTAATGGCATCTATTAAGCCTATTTCGCCGACACAAGCATTGGGAACACATGTTTTTGGGGGGAAAGTCTGGGAATTGACCAGAAAAACACACCATGCTGATTATTTACAGACGGTCAAATAGTGCTGTCCAAGGTCTAAAGTCCTGCAGCTGTCATACCCAGGATGTAGCATTGGTCATGCTGCAGTTTGGTTTAGATAGGAATCTGATGTCTGTGAGGGAAAACATGACCCATGAAACAGTCAATACTACTCAATAAAACAAATTAAAATCTAACAATGCCCAAGCAAGCTTTAATCATGTTGTGTAAGCAATGTCCCATACAAATGATAGACAACTCATATTTACTAGCACGATACAGACCCTATACAATCAGTTTGAAATATTTGTGTTACATTTCACATGTTATAGTTCTGTTTTATTGTAACAACAACAATATGGACCTGACCTTTGACCTCTGGTTATTGTTGCCTGTGATGTTGGTGTTCTAGGAATTAAAGATTACCCTATATATATACTGTAATTACAGTCAGCAGCAGAGCAAGTGGTGGCTTCTAGGGCTATAGCCCTGAATGTATTCTCAAAAGCCCTGAATCCATCCTGTTCCCTAAAGAAATCTAATATAATTGAATAAATGTTCTTTTGTTGGCCTTATATTCCATCGAGACTATTGAAGATCATATCCACCGTGGCATTGTTGGAGGCCTAGATTATTATGGCATGGATTTAAATGTAGCAGATTTGTCAGCTCCTCGTTGTTCTGTGAACTCTACTCTAGCATCTTACAAAAATGTGTTTCAAGTTTAATAATGCTGTTTAACTTAAAAATAGAAACGTCAGACCATTTTTGTGGCAGGAGTGAAAATTAGTCATCTTCAACATCTGTTGTGTGTTAGTTTTAGAATGATGAAGACAAGGATGTAGGCTCAACAGGCTCTTTTTACCCCTTGGCAACTGTCATGTTTTTCACAAATGATGTTTGGATATTTAGGTGTTCTATAATCTCAGCTTGTTTAAAAAATATTACATACAGAGTGGTGCAGGAATTCGTCCTAAAATCATGAAATCAGTCAGCATTTTTGCACTCGATCTCTCTCGATTGCAGACACAAGCGGCTAAATGAGTTTTCTCCATGGGGTGGCTGGGCTCAGCCTTAGAGATAGGGTGAGGAGCTTGGACATCCGGAGGGAGCTCGGAGTAGAGCCGCTGTTCCTTCGCGATGAAAGGGGTTAGTTGAGGTAGTTCGGGCATATAATCAGGATGATTCCTAGGTGCCTCCTGCTGGAGGTGTTTCGGTAGGAGGCCCGGGGCAGACTCAGAACACGCTGGAGGGATTACATATCTCATCTGACCTAGAAACGCTTTGGGGTCCCCCAGGAGGAGCTGGAAAGTGTTGCTGGGGAGAGGGATGACTGGGGTGCTTTGCTCGGCCTGCTGCCCCCTGCAACCGGCCTCGGATAAGCCGATGAAAATTTGAAAAATTTGAACGGGTTTTTGGTTAGATGCCTGAAATAAGGTCTGTGGTTGAAACTAGCGTAAAAGACTTTCACGTTTTGTTCTATGACATAAAATACGTCCACACTCATGAATTTTTAAGCTTTTATGTGTCTTAAAATAGCCGGTTGTTAACAAATGGCTAAATGAGACTACAGAAAGTCATCACACTGAATACCACTTTAAAAGCCTTCTTATGGTGGTGGTCTTAAGTCATGTGATTGCGGTGTAGTTCATTTATAGCTGAATGTTAGCTTTTTACTTCTAGCGATTGCATTTAAGCTTCAAAAATCAGAAAATTGGTGTTCATTCGTAAAGATTATCTTGCTGAACAGAATGTGTAAATATAATAAATGTTTGTTTGACACTGTTTATTTTCTGCCATAATCCAAAATCCAATGATACAGTCCCATAGGGTTTTTGACGAGGGAACCAAGGTGATGCTAACTTCCGCATCAGCCTACAAAAATACGTCATCCCTGCAGCACTCTATAGTTGCCATAGATGTGAAGAAAACATCTCCTCAGGGGATCCCCTTGAGCCCTGAATGTCTACAACATCTGGCTCCACCCCTGATCACTGTCAGCCAGCATTACCAATATTCCAAGAATGTCACTGAATGAAAACAAAGTTTTCCATCTATCCATTCAGTATCTGTAACCACTGTGCAAAGCCTATTCCAGCACGTACTGACTAGATTAATCTCATCTATCACAGACATCCCTTTCACAGAACATACATTTTTCTTGGTCAGATTGTTGTAAACAATCATAAATGCCATGGCCATTAGTCTGACCACAGAAGACACCTCATTACTTGTGGTACTACAAGTATTTTCTGCTGATCTTTACCAGTGTCTCTTCTCTAAGGTGCCAGTCTTTCTGGAGGAAACTGTCAATACTCCTTCCTTTGTGGCGGGACTATAATTACAGCCTATCCAAAAGAGAAATACCACTAATTAAACCGCTGTAAGGAAGACAATCAGTTATGTAGGCTGGAGAACAAAGATGAATAGCTTTCAGTGTTAGCTGACATTTTCTGAAAAACTTTGATTTACTATTAATAGAGTGTACATGCTTTTGTGTGTCTATATTTATGTACATACTTTGTCAAGCTGGAGAATGGATTGGGGGTCTGATTTTTTTATTAGATAGACAGAACGACAGTGATAAACAAGGCATGGTTTGAAATATCTGTGATTGTGCTGTCAAATAGAAAATGATGCTCTGAGCCTGTGATGATGCTGCTGTGTTTGTTCTGATGGATGGCAGAGGATCTGACACAAAATGTTAGAATTCTTGGCCTTAATAACGGACAAGCAGTTCATGTTATCTGCCAACCCATACCATAAATTAGCCTCTGTTCACTCTGCCCTTGACAAAGCCTTAAGGACATTTCTTCCACTGTACCAGCATATGCCCACCACCCATTTTTCACTCGCTTTCAACCTGCTCTTTCACTCATCTCCCACGAGTAAAACCAGCACAGTTAAATCAAGCCAAACGCCAGTGTGAAACCATTTGTATTGTCTTTGAAACATACAGTACGGTGCTGTGAGAGTACCCTCTTACTGGTGCACTTCAAGGTCATAAACAGAAGCATGGCAGACGTATACAATCACACATATGGCTCTGCATTGTCTGCTGCCAAAATTTTACAATGTTTTCTTCAGGGATCGTCAGTGATACGGCCCTTATAATGCAAAGCAGTGCCAAGCTTTAATTTAACGTCTGCATGGATTGAGAACTTCAATTCAGTGATCTCCAGTGATCAATAGCACATTAGAAGGAGACAGAAGAAGAGGGGAGTGGCTGAAAAGAAATGAGGAGAGAAGAAGAAGAGAGAAAAAGGGGAATTAAGAAGAAGAGAGAGATGCAGGAAGCAAGTGTGAGGATGTGGACAGAACAAAAGAGCCTGGTGTGTGTTTGAAGACAAGGGGAGGAGAAGGTTAGAGAGGCGAGGCCCAAAGTGAGACAGGTAGAGGGGGGTTATGCAAGGAGAGGGGAGAGACAGGGAGGGGAGGGGAAGGAGGGGTGAGCAGGGGTTTGAAGATGACAAAGAGAGTTCAGAGGATGCACAGATGACCGGAGAGAGAAAGCAGTGAAAACTGTTTTGGGGGAAACCCACTGCAGACGCAACGTCAATCCTAATTACTAATTCATTAACCTGCCCGGCTCCCTTCCCCCTCAGTAGCCATACACACACACACACACACACACACACACACACACTCACACACAAACAGACACACACACACACACACACACATACCCACATGCACTCACTGCTCCCTGTTCTGTCCCTCCTCTGAGTCCCACGAGAGGCGGAGGGATGGATGGATGCAGAAATGAAGAGGTGGGTCTGCAGCTAAGTGACATCTGCAGGGCTGTGACGGCTGCAACGTGTTGGGGACACTGGAAATCCCTGATGTGACAATGGGAGGGGAGGGAGGGGAGGGAAGGGGGAGGTAACTGGTGAGGAGAAGAGCTAACAGCTTGCGTTTTGGTTTGTAAGGGTGGGTGGTCTCCTGTGATGGTGTGTTAATGTGCACGGCTGTGGTGTCAGAGTATGTATATGTGTGTGTGTGCCATCATGCATGCATTTACCTGTGTGTGCGTTCAAATGTGCAATCACAAGACGTGCTGGCATGAAGAGCGTGTGCATGCACGTGTGCTAGCATGTTATATGAGAGCAGGTAGTAGGGAAGATTAATCAATATGCTGATGTTGCTGTGCTCAAGTAATAGCGTTTTGAGTATAATCAAAGCAAGGGGGAGGTGCTAGACAGACTGATGGTGTGTGTCTTTAGCTGTACGACTCCCACCGCTTTGTGTGTTAGTGTGTGTGTTTGTGTGTGTGTGTGTGTGTGTAGGCGACAGAAGCGCACACATAGATGTTAGCATCCACACACACCGAGACCTCCTGCAGCATTCCTCTGCACATGCTCACACAGACAACTCAATATAAAGATAGAGATACAATGTGCACACACAAGGACACATACTCAGGCACCCAAGTGTGTAGAAACACGCACACAAACACACACACACACACACACACACACACACGCACACACACACACACACACACACACACACACACACAGGGAGAAGGATGAAGTGCTGCTGACTGAGGTGGAATTAAATAGAGAAATCCTCCAAACGAGCATCGATCCGCAGAGTTTACAGCGTTGGCTCCGTCTGCCACGGCAGGCCAAACAACAGGGAGCTCTGTGAGACAGCTGGGGCACACACATACACACAAGCAGGAAGCATTGCAGGCACATATATATAACACACACACACACACTGCAGAATGTGTGTGCACGTAGAGTGGGTCTTTGATTTTGATCAGAGGACTTCACAGCAGAATGTGCTTTAGAGTGTAGAAGCATGTGTGTGTCTGATATTTGGTATTAAATTAATCTATGTTTCTGCATGTGTGTGTGTGTGTGTGTGTGTGTGTGTGTGTGTGTGTGTGCATGGATTCTCTGAAGA